GGAGTGAGCGCCGAGGGGCGGGGGCGGCGGCTGGACAGCGCGGCCGGCGGCGCCGGGGACTACTTTCTACATCTGCGCCCTGGTCTGGGCACGGGAGGTCGGCGCGGCCGGCGGAGGGAGACGGGGACGGCGCCCCGAGGGGCGGGCCCGCCGGACAATGCACTTGGGGGTCGGGCTCCGGGGGTCGGGCCCCGGCTCGAGGGCTCCGGCCGCGTCCCCGCCCCTCGGCCAGGGCAGAGCCACAAACGCCAGGCGCCCGGCCGGGCTGCCCCCGGGGCCCCTCTCCCGCCGGCGGCGTCAGCATTGGGGAGCGGGGCGGCGTTGAGCGACGTGCAAAGGCCCTGCCCATCCCCCGCCGCTGCACGCGGAGACCCCGGGAGGGGAGCCTGACCTTCCCCTTCGGGGGCGCATCAGCCCGGCTGCAGGCATCTCGGGGGATAAGGCCCCACGTGCGGGGACGCTTCTTCGCTTCCCTGCCCCCATCAGATCCGCGCTGGCTTGAAAACTCCTCCGAAGAGTGCCCTGGAAGGAACGGTTACGTTTCGGGGAGACGTTTATTATCTCTTTCTCGAGATAGTCAAGTTCTTTAATCTGCTGGGAACTGTGCACACAAAAGGCCCTGTCCTCAGAGGAGAGGCGAGATGGGCAGATTTAGAGATTCTCCGAGCCTGCGCTGGGGGACCAGGCGTTGATAGACTGCTTGGTTAGAAGTTAAACTGCCTGGGAAGGGCACGAACCTTGTGCCTGTGTTCACATCTCCTGAAATTTAGGATAACAGGAGAGAAGCAGACGTTTAAGAATGTAGTCAAGGTCGTTAAGCGTGCGGATCGTGGAGAGTATTGTACGCGTGGGTTAGCGTTTGCTAATCCAAAACGAAATCCATGGCACGGGATGCGGGCACGGGCTAAAAGCTGACCTTAATGAAAGCTCCTGACAGAAATCTAGCTTGTTGTCACTAAGGCATCAACACACTAACTGCCTTCAGCACGTTCCAGAAATCCCCTTATGAAGAAAAAGAAGGGAAATCAAGTTTTACAACAGCTGCCGAGAGGGCAGCGCCACTTTCCCGAGAAGCTTCATATAACAGGGATCAACCTACTTCGCAATTGCAGCTTCGCCTGCGTGTGAAACAATAATACTCCTGGCTGCATTGCCTCCAAAATCTCCCTTATAATTTAGATGAATTTGAAGTATTTCTGAGCATCAGAATAAAGGTTCATGGAAAGGGAAGTATTTAGAGGTATAAAATGAAACGTTTGCAAGGACGTTTCAAACATTTGATAAATTTATACAAAATGATATTCTTGTGTTTGCCGTTAAACTAGTTTTTTTTTTTTTTTTTAATTGTATGACATTCTTTTTCCTCTGGCTGCATCCTCTCCCAGTTCCCTTTCAATAGACCTTAAGTGCTCATATTTCCTGGATGAGAATTGCTAATAAGATGCTTTTATGCTCTTTCGTGAATAAATCAGAAGAATAAAGGCTGGGGGAGGAGAGAGAGAGGAGACCTTTTTTTTTTAACTGCCACTTTGCTTTTCTTTAACATTTCAATTAATCATAGAAGCCTTTGATTCTTGGAAGATGGCTTTGGACCTTGAGTTATGTTGGAAAAGAACATAGCATCGCATCTAGTATGAAGCAGGCTAATGGAATAGAATAGACTAGTTTAATAAGCCTACGTAACTTTTCTGATCTATATACTTCCTGTTCCATGTTGGGCAGTAGACTTACTGTGATGATGTAATGACACCACATTGTATAAAATCTGCAGTATCCCTAGGGCTTTCATTTACACTATTCTCGTTTGATACAATAACCCAGTGAAGTGGGTGGAGGTATTGTGACTAACATCTCCAATGTGAAGTTGGAGAAACTGAGACTTACCCAAGGTCACTCAGTGGTAACTCCCAGTGGTAACGAAACCAGAATTCACATCTTCTGATTTCAACTTTGTTGCTCTTTCTGCTATACCACCCTTTCTTTTAAGTAAAACTTCCCTTTCTCGGGGCAGAACACCTAAAATTCCTGTAGGCTTCAGGATTCACGGCACACTTCTTTGAATAACCTGGTACATGTCTTAATTTTCTCTCGTGTTGATACTTGTCTTGCATCATGTACTAGGCTGCATAAGCCACATAAGGGCTTGTTCTCCAGTTTTTAAATATCTACAGGTTCCAGCACAGTATCTTGCATATAGTAGGTACAGTGGTTAAGCTATGCAGTGGTTACGAGCATAGTTTTTGGTGTCTGACTAGACTAGAGTTCAAATTTTGGTGTTGGGTAAGTTATGTTTTCAAACCTCATCTGTTTAATGGGAATAAGTATAATACTTCAATAGGCTGCCGTGATGTAACATATTGCATGAAAAACAACCTAATGTATAGCTCTATTAATAACTGCTGTTATCATTATTCACTGTTGTTAGCTGCCTTCGAGTTGGCTTCAACTCACGGTGAACCCATGCACAATGGAAAGAAACGCTGCCCCAACCCACGCACAATGGAAAGAAACGCTGCCCCAACCCACGCACAATGGAAAGAAACGCTGCCCCAACCCA